CATTTTAAAACGGTTGTGTATTTGTTAAATAAGTTTAATGTTATTCTATACTTTTAATGGCGAATCAAAACATTTTATCAAAACAGAAAGGGTTGGTTATGTGAGGCACTTTGCTGGTCCGACCCCGAACTTACCTGTTTAGCATATGATGAAAGTGTACTGAGTGCCAGTTGGTCTGAAGCTCTTTTGAATGATTTGTATAGAAGTTCTACAATGTTAGTCTACAACATTTAATGTACCAATTACACTAAAATGTGTGCCTTTCAATGGAATTGATAACTGGAAATAACGCAGATCACAAACTATATTAAAAGTTTGCAGCAGAGAAACATAAAACCACTTCTTTTTTTCAGTTCACTTTAGAAAAGAACCTATATAATTACAAAACATCATGTAATTGAGAAAAATGTACAGGGAATACAATTATTATTATTTAAAAAACTCTACTGAACGAGGAAAAAGTTAATAGCATCAGGAAAATAACAGCAAAGGGGATATAACCTTTATATAACTAACATCACACTTATTATCACAAAAAATATAGACACAACGTTAAATAGAGGAATACCCGAAAAGACAATAGGCAACGTATTCCCCCTGTTAGATCATCGGGGCGCAACACAAAGTTACAGCTTCATAAATATATGAAATCAGACATGTTCCAGATTTTTCGGCCAATGTCACTAAAGCATACACTTACATAATACCTGTATGGTGGATTATTCTTCAGAGTGAAACACCTAACCAATTTACTTTTAGCATTGCGCTCGAATAACAACACCTATGTGTTTTATCAGATCATGATTTCAGGATATTGCTTCATTGTATGTTTGAAGAAGCAACATTGTTGGGGCACGCATGGAACTTTTGCGTCCATTCTGTGTCATATATTACCAAGAACACATCTTTGCTAACAAAATATAAGGTAACAATTGTTTCATTCACTATTGATAAATTTATTTAAACAACAGTAAGAATCTTACATCAAACAATAAAATATATAACACTGAGATCAACATCTTCAATAACAATTATTCACATCACTATGCCACCACTTGATCAAAAGGACTGACAGTGCACATGATGAGAACATACACATGTGACAATATCAACGTGATTGTCTGATATGTGAGCTGGAGCATGCTACTATTTCTCCTTAAATACTGCAAGTCACGTAGATTTTGCGAGAGATATATTCTTACGTATACTTTCGAGTAGTGTAATTCACAAATAGAGTTAACCTTGAAGTATATATTTGAATATATAACTTTTTTGTAACTGCTCATTTTTATTTTTGCGCCCAAAAGACATCCAGAATAAGTCAATTGAAGCACATTTGCAAAAGAACTTAATTGCGATATTAATTTAAGTGATTTACAATATTTGCTCCAGATTAAGATTTTGCATGAAGCGTGCTAGAGTAGAATGTATTGAAGTTAGATAGCTCACATCATCACCATCGACGATATGTAATGTCAGGTCCGAATATTTATAATTTCTTTTTTTCTGATTACTTCAATTTCGATAATATTCAACAACTAAAGTCATCTACGATGTCGTGTTTTATCAATCATTCAATCATAAACTCATACTCAACCTTATGACGTTAATGCTTTCATCTGTAAAAAAAATGTACACTCCACGAAATGTCAAACATTGTGGAACAATAGAAATGAATTTCAATATATCTTTCTTTTGTCGAAACTGATCACAGTTGTCGCGTATCATTCACGCTACTTCACACAATTGCATTGTGATTGCACAACATTCAGCTTTGTACGGCTGACATATAAACGATATAATATAAACTCTCTTCACAGAATATAGAAAATAGCAATATCTATTTCAATATAACATGAACTAACATTTATGGTCTGCATAAACCTAGCCGGCGTGATGCGGCGTACACCGTGAGTGTTAATCACGGGCACATAGGGACACAAGCAAAACAACTGCAAATATCTCTTTCTCGGCGTACAGTTCAAACCAGGCACACTCTGACAGTACAATAGTGACCATGCTGCTAACTTGATTCGGGTAACTGTATTATGTATACATATGTCAAATATCATATTTAGTGATAAAGTTTATCTGCCACACCGATATATAATATAACAATGTTTTTATGAGATGCACGTAATACAATCACACATCGTTAGTCAATTATACAGCTAATCTTGAACTACTTGATGTACTTACACATCTTGCATACTGACCCAATGTTTACTCATGTACATTGAAAAATATGACACATCATACAAATTTGTATTGTATAGTATGATAAAACATACATTCTATAAAATAATAAAATCTAATTCTACTGCACTTTGAAAACAATAAGATCTACCTTTTTGCGTTGTAATGCCATTATACTATAATAATGTCTTTTTAACTGTTAAATTAAACAGTGCAATTTATGTGAATAGTGCAGAATTGACGTAACATGCATTGTAGAATGTGATTTATTTGTAATAAAGAAAGCATTTGTATTTGTCTTTAGCATAAAAGCCCTGCAGTCAGTGTCGCAAACATGTTCCAATTATAAAGGTGAACATGCTTTATGCCACTGTTGATGACTCTTACAAAGGAATATATAATAGTGTGCAAATCTAATATGACAACTATCTGGTCCTTCAATCGTATCCTCAATGGCACATGTTAGACAATAAAATCTGAGATATTAATACGTTTTACAAGTGACTATTCATTTCAATTTGCAAACCATTATTTTGTATGTAAAAAAGCTTTATCTTATCCACGAGCAAATTCTAAAGACGTTCGTCGAATTAAAGTAATCAACTCACATTCTTGAATATTCTCACGTTAATTACTACATGCAACAATTCCATATTCACCAAACAGCAATTTCTGCTTAATTGTGACTGTTTTATCGTTTAGTGAGATTAGAATTAAAAATAAAGTCAGTTAAATCCTATTTGTATTCTAAAACTCATTTGAGAAAATACTACGCCAGTCTCCTCAGCATCGAAATGCAACATCTCTTTAAATGAGACAGAGGACAAAGGAGAAGAAATTAAAGTGAACTGAGTAAAGGAAAGAAAAGAGGCCTCTTATGTGAGGCTTTATGCTTTTAGCCGGGATAGTCTAGGGCTTCAAAACCCCGGCATTCAGTGATCATATGCTCTGTTTGGAATCCAGAACCTCGAGTGATGTTTTATAATTTGCCTGGTGTCCATTTGGGAATGGTGAGTTTTATAGTTTTTTTTGTATTTTGTATCTGTTGTACTTTTGTTTGCAATAAAAAGTAACAAATTTTAGTAATTGAATGAGTTACAAAAGAGTTGAAGATAGCATCAGAAGATGTGTATAGAGCCTTAGGGAATGTATATGGTGTAGAACGCAATGGTTAATTAAATTATAAAAACACGTAACAGCCAATACGAATAGCACAGCATCTACGCTGTCTATGCATAATGCTCTGTTATCGCATACAATTGTATTATAACACTTTTACACCGTCGAAGTTTGAAGCATGCATTATACGGCAGATGAAGAGTGATTTTCAACCCAAATTTTCAATGCAGCGCGGAGAAGAAAAGTGCATTAGATAGCAATTATGGCTAAAAATATAATTCAGAAAAACACAAAATTGCAATTCAAATGTCATTCAGGACCTATATTGCCGATTGCTGTAAATGCAGTGTAATGAATGTTTGGCTAACTGTGTTTTACCAATTCTAAAGGTGCAAACACCGTTACCTTTGTGTGTGTTATGTTCACCTTTCAAGATACAAAGTGGTAGATTCCGCTTGTGGATTATTTAGTTCCCGAGGTGGGCTGTGACCGTGATGGCCGCCGTGATCTCTTTTGTAAGTCATTCCCTACACACTTTACAGATAATTTAATTTGAAATTGACCGATACTCCTTTTTAAATCAATAATTCAAGGGGTTAACGCACCCGCCCCTCTGTTAAACAGTAGTTAAGGCAATTTGGATTTCCAGGTTTTTGGCCCCGGAATCACCGACGAGTCTTAATAGGGCGAACACGGTGTGAGATGCAGTAAAATTCATCTGGTTTGCTGTGTCTTTTACCAAATTTGAAATGTGCAATCATCTGAGTATGGGTAGCATCTATCGTTCAAGGATTTCGAAATGACACTCTTACTTGATTACAAATTGATTGGAAAGTAAATATGACTTATTCTGAGTTATGTGTGGTCGCTATCTTTATTACAACTGTTTCATGTTTCACCATTCATTGACCGTTTGAAATTACATCTGTATGTTCACCTTGTTAAATGATCCTACAGCGAATACAATACATTAATACATTACTTTGTGACGTCATTTTACGGGGAATTCTTTTCAAATCAGTGAATTCAAATCATACGTTCTATAAGAAAATGAGAAAACCTCGTTTCTTTTGTATGTTTTATTGGAGAAAGCATATATTCAACTCGTCTTGATTGGAACTGTTTAGTTTCATACTTATGTGTTTATTTTCGTATAAACTTGACTCGCCAAAACAGCTAGATTGGATATATATCTCATAATCGCTAATACTTTGCTCTATGTATTTAAACTTTCTTGAGAATCAGCTGGTATTACCTCGTATTTCTGGAGTATAAAAGGAACCATACAACTCTTGATAACATTACTAATTTGGAACATTTATTTAAAGCAGATAACGTTTAATATTGATACTATCTTTTCGTCATTCTTTTTAATGTATTATAATGTGTGCATTACATTACATTATTATGTATTCGTACTGTACATCAGAACGTTTGTGTAAAATGCTTGTTATGTTTTATAATTGTCTTTATTCACTGTTGTCAAGTTAGAAACTGTTGTGAAATCCTTGAAATGCGTTAAGGAGCTGAATTAAGACGTCACATTGACAGGTTAAATGGCACTTTAACTAAACGTCATGTTAATTTTCATTTTATTACGATCGCTTTTCATTTAGTGCATATGCGTAACGAATGTAAATAAGTTAAATTATCAAAAGAGTATGTGTCATAACATGTATGAATTGTCATGTTTTTATAAAGTGACACGTATATATATCAAAATGTCTTCGTCCATCAATATAAATTTTATTGATTTAATTAACACAATTCGATGCTTTGTTTATTGGGTTAAATATTTAATGACAAAGACAATATCAAGGCACTGTGTGCAGCAATAAAGCAGTGCTGAATAGAACACATTTGATATGGACAAACACCACATGTTACTCTAGGAAAGCAATTCGGTACAGACAGAAGATTGCTCTACTCGGCTGCCAATAGCGGCCTATAGCTGCCGGACTGCAATTCCTCATGTGATCTGTCGTGCTCAGGTTTCTAATCACTGTTCCCAAGTGATAAAGGGCGAACGACTTCGTACCTATTATTCGTCGCTGGGGAAGAAGGCGTGCACGTTGTTTCTGTTAGTATGGATCATATTCTGTTCATGTGTTTGTTTTAAACTGTATTCCTAGGATAGCCTTGCTAATGTCATATTTTCTGTGCTAATTATTTAAAGCACTTATCATAGAAATTGTTTTTTTTTTTGAGCAACTTTGTATAAGGAATGGGTCAATGCATTCACATTTTTTTATTGTTCGATAAAGTTCTGAAAGAATCAACTGTGGTTCGTATTGTTGATTTGGATATAAATCCTTACGGTTGGAAATTCATATTCAACACTTGTAATCCCGACCCTCTTTCAATAAACCTTTGAGATTTTAACAATTTAGATTTTATACCATAAAACAAAGTTAATCACTAATATATACATTATGGAACCAACATATTAAACTACTTTTACATGTATGTACAATTTAATATCGATCACAGAAATAGTCAACGACTCTCAGACCTTTGATTTTAACATGATAAACACAAACACTTTATACAACACAACACTGTGAAGTTGACCTGTTGAACCACCTAATTATAAATGTATATTGTCGTAATAATTAAATCATCGCTCATCGCTTTCATGTCACACACGTTGAATGGAATTCCTGTATATTATTCTCAATACTTCTTCAACTGTCAATCAAGTTTCGATCACAAGATAAAAATAGTTGTCTGATATTAGCAAAGTAGGTGCAACAATCATATAATAAATCCAAGACAGGTCAAATCACATCAAATATACCTTATTCACACGGGCAATACAGTTTATGTGAGTAACTTCAAGCGCCTACTCCTGGATGGCCTGCTCACGAATGAGTAGACAGGGTGGGGACTGACATACATACTCACTATCAAGGGACGGCAGTTGAGAAATTTGGATTTCCGACAGATGGATTTCTACCAGACGGGAGTTTATGTTATCTTCATGCCGATCCGCCCGGTATTTGATATCAGACAACTTGCTTTTTCGGATTTTTTTGTTAAGAAGCGTATTAAATGGATTTCTGACACAGGAACAATCACCGACACAGCTTGCCAGAGGTAGTCTTAACAGTGCATGTCTGAAACTTTTAGCGCATGCGCTGTATAACACGAAGTTGACTGCAAAATTGATGTAATATAATATTTGTACTATGTGCTGCCAGTAAACTTCCGTCCGCGACACACTGTAATGTGACTCCGTGATGCTCCGAAAGAAGAACTGTACACGTATGGCATGACTTGGTAGATTGAGTACCACAAATACTATAATAACCACTACCAACATGCGCTTGAGCTTTGCTTGGGCTTTCAGAGCTTGCTTTGCCATGCGGTCATGACCAGTGTTCGATTCGTTGCTGTCGCCTTGAGAGTCACTAACACTATTATTGTTGGAACCGGTTCTATACTCCGATGGTTTCTTGTACAACCTAGAGATGTCTATTAATAGGCGCGTTGTCATAAAGATAATCATAGAGAAAGGCAGTAGAAGCGTTAGGAATGTATCGAGTATAGAGAGGACCATCATAGTGTCACTGTCACTAGATGTAGACATGCATTTCTGTTCCGTCCCGCTGGTGGTTACCTTGGCAGTCCAGAAGGCAAACATGTATAACAGAGCTGCAAAAGCCGTCAGGACAAGCACCGCCCGTCGGGCAAATCTAGGTTTACACACTTTGTCCCCTTTTGAGGAGTGAAACACGGCAACATACATCTCGATCGTGAATGCGTTTACGTACCAAACAGATGTAAAGCTAAACACAAACGTCATATAGACAACGATCTGACATATTCCATCGGTGTGAAAGAAATGTATTCCCATTGCATCAAGCCAGCCGAATCCCACACAAAACAAGAAACCAGTGTCTGAGATGGACAGTGCGGCTAGGTAAACCGATGTGGATATACGCTTGAGGCGAGAACAGACAAAGACAAAAAAGGATATGGTGTTGCCCAGAAATCCAGTAACTATTATAATAGGTAGTAAGTACCTGTTTGCGTAAATGACAAGCGTTTGAAGCGCTTCGTTTTCCTCCTCGTCTTGCACATCGTAATTTGTATCCAGAGATCCGTTCGACACGGTGGCGTTGTATGATAGATCCTGCATCCTCGTAGTTATGTGAATCAGTGAACACTACACATCGTTACACGGGGAGATGGTCGGTATAGCAACATATCACCTGTAATACAAAGGACAAAAATCAAGATTGGGTTTAAACATGCAATTTTGTCACTGATTATACAAATACAATCGATAGTTAGTTATTAAAATCTGTCAAATTTCTCTATAGCTATATGAATGATTAATAAACTACTTTTGAATGTATCCTTTTATCATGAACGAAAATGATTAATGAACATATGCTGATTGTTATCAAACACATAACGTTAGGCGATAAATAGTTTTTCTGTAGTCCATACTTCGTTGCACGCTCTTAGAAATGTACACTGTTTTACTGTTAAAATATTTTTGGTGAATATGTTTTCAAGTTGTCAATACTCGTACTATACATATACTAAACGTATGAATAGACATAGTTATAATAGTTTAGCTTGCAAACTCAAAAACGAATTGAGTTACATGGAAGACACCCGCAAAATTAACAATCCGTGAATCTGATGACGTGCATGGCGCCGCAGAAATAAGAATGCGCTTATGAAATTACGCAGGAAGTTCTGTGCCGTCATGACGTTTGTTATGTAAGAGAAATGAATGCGTTTATGTCAGTACATCAACAGTTCTTAGCCGTTTTGACGTGTGCTATGCACAGGGGAAATGCGATATTTTTATTATTCTTACAGTGCTATGCCATTATGACGTGCCTAGTGCGCCAAAATGAAAATACCAACAACACAAGTTAGCTTTTACGACGTGTGTTATGTATTGAAATGAGAAGGAGAAAGTAAATACAACAGTACGTTTCACCATGTTTTAAGCTTTGCATAGTTTCATGATGATTTTCATAAATGCAAAATCCGCGAAAATCCCTTAACACGCAAAAATTCCACTTTCACAGTACTACGTCTGGGTAAAAAAACCGAAGCACTCTTTCAAATGCGTATAGAATGTATCTCGAGTTTCATTAACATTGTCTCGCTAGCTCTATTCTCTAGCATTACAAAGCTATAATATATTTGTTTTACGCGCCAAAAAAATGTTAACGCTTATCGGAAAATCAGATATACATCATGCTGCTTATGACGGTTTCATTAAATTAATTGTTTCGAAGACGTGTGCATTTCCAATTTGATCGGATTTATTTGGCTCTCTCTGGTATCTTAAAGTACATTTACAACTTTTGCACAGTCAATGAGACGAACGTAATGTCCATCAGTTTACAGCTACACATACATGACATTAACTAAGTGTATTGCCTCTCTCCGATTAAGTCTCTGGAATGTGGCAGACAGATTAATACAACCAGACAGCACCATGCTCTATGAAGTTCTATGTATAATGTATGAGTGTATACCAGCGGGAATGTTATTGACAACTCACCTGTTTTGTTTCACATTTCTCCTAGGTAAATGCTTTTGCTGAATGTTAATAGGTCAAGTAAATTGCATAGTATATAAGACATAGTATTATATTGTAATGTTGTATAATTGTATTACATGTCGATTGCATCACTATATGTAACTTTTATCAAGCACATGTATTTTAGTAGCAAGATTACCATGTTTTTTTAAAAAAATCGATTGCGTAAATATGTTATTTTATCTAACACATGTATTTTACTAACAAGAGGACCACGTGGAAGATTAGCCTTTGGCTAAACATGTATTTTATCCTCAATAAATACAGTTTAATATTATTAATGAGAAAAACTAAAATAGATATTATAACTGTTCTGTGGGTGGGATTTGAATTCTATCAACTTAAGCTTATATTTTTCACACTATGACAGATGTCAAAAGTGATCAACTGCCATAGCTTGTAACAATTTATGATATATCTGTATAATTTTAAGACAATTTGAGAGCAGAGATTCGTAGCCCTTCGGCTGTTCGTTATCCTCGCAAAACAAATAAAGAATTAATCAATTTATTGATAACAGTCCTATTGGCAAACATTTGCAGAATCACAGCAAAAAACAATAGCATTTGTATTGAGTAGCCAATTTAAAACGGTGCACAACTCTACTGTCAAGCATGATGTCATTTGAAGATGGCGTCAATGCTTAAATACTTTCGTTTTTATGCACTAACATTTTCGTCCATGTTGATAGTATAGACATATAACAAATAGAAATTTGAAATGTTTCCCAATGGGTCACAGCACACATAAACATGCATATCAGTAGGTTATGTTTATAGACAATTGTAACGAACCCCAGTGCTTTAAGTAAGTTAGGGGTCAAGTGAATTTGCTCCTTTTCATGCGGTCTTGGTACCATTCTTTTCTGATTCATTTAGTGCTCACACTATGTCCTAGTGTATACGCATTGGCGCGTCAATTTACATGCTTAACAAAACTAAAAGTTTTTGGACACGCGTTTGTCAAAAAGTGGATAGTTCTTACCATTTATATTGTGTCTTTACGTTAAAATATCAAACAGTTCAGGAGACTAACGCATATCACCAACAGATAAGTTAATTAACATCATAAGACAGATAGTATTAGCTTATCTATTTATATCTATGTAATTTAGTTCGGTGAAATAAAGTCACACCAGACCTTTTATCGTAAATGTTGACGAAACTTTCATTACTTTATAGAGCTCAATATATTCAGTCAATCGTTGAAGTAACATTAGGCAAATTATCTCTATCACTGAACTGTTTTATCTATTGTGAGAAACTGATGTCTGTGCAGCAGCTTTGTCATATATTTATTGCAGGTCATAAACAGGAAATAGGTTTATAGGCAGTAAATGTTGTATATGTTAGGTCGATATCCTGTGTCCTGTGTGCAAGCAATAATCCCCTCTTTAGAAAATGAATATTTAAAATATCTATAACTAATGGTTGTTGCGTCAAAATACAATGGCATAATATACAAAAATCGTCAACACTCCTGGACACAATATACCATACCGTAACATTATACAGACAAATTATTCCCAAGCGTAGCCCCACATTGACAAAATATACCACACCGTAACCTCACATTGACAAAATATACCACATCGTCAACTCACCATGATTAAATGTACCACATCGTCACTTCATACTGACCAAATATAACACACCGCCAACTCACATTGATAAAATATACAACCCCATCACATCACATTGACAAAATAAATTATCCCATCACATCACATTGACCAAATACACCACAGCGTCACTTCATATAGAAATATAGCACAGCGTTACCTCATTATGCCAAAATATACCACAGCGTCACCTCATTTTGCAAAATATATCACTGCGTCATCTCATATTGCGAAAAATACCACAGCGTCACCTCACATTGACAAATATACCACACCGTCATATCACATTGATACCATATACCACAGTGTTACCTCACATGGTTCAATTATACCGTAGCGTCACCTCACATTGACAAAATCCATTACAGTGTCACTTCATATTATTTTATAATTATCTAATTAATTATTTCAAGAACAATCACTTTATTTCTCGTAGAAATCTGTCACAACTCAAGTCAAACCATACTACAGCACCAACGCGTTCTCGAAAGAATTGTTATCAATCCCTATTAAATGCAGATATATATGTTTAAGTGCTTAAGTAAAAAGTAAAATATCAATGTCCCAGCAATAAAGGAAATAATTAAACCTAGGCTATTTAATTGTATTTTAGGAGTTCACTAGATTCACGAGTTCTGGCTTGACTAACTTTCTAAACATTTTTATGGTTGGCTGCGCAATTTAAGTGAGCTCAAGACCTATTTGTACCGTTTACAAATAGCAATTTGTGACTTTGTTATATGTATGATCAAACAACCATGAAGCATAGAGTAAATATTATATTTAAAAATTACACACTAACAAATATATTTTCACGTACTTGCAGCAATCAACAGTATCAAATATATGTGTACGGACTAAACACAAGTTACTGCCTACTCCATAGAACAATGACTAAACACGTGTGTTTCCCTTAATAGTACACGATTACTTGGTTATCACGTATAAAGTATCATAAAGGGTTTAAATGTGCAGTATTTTTTTTTAGATATTATGTTAACAGTGATACATATGCGAAATATTAAGACCACTATCTGGTCAAGTCAACCCCGCTGTATAATTACCCACCTTAGCCGACCTTTCTACTGTAAAACACACGTACATTTGACATTACAAACGCTAAAATTGGACATACGTACCAGAACTGCATGTTGCTTTAGGCGATAAAAGTTATGCCCCTGTAGTTCTTTTTTTGAATTCAAACACTTGTTTGTTTTTAAATATACCTAACATCACTAAAGACTTTTTCATATTAGTACCTTTATCAGCCCTTCAAATGATTTTAATCCTGAGACAAAAAATCGACTTCTCAGATGAACTCAATACCGAAACAAACTTGTAAACTGCCACTAATTCTGCCCGAATATCGATTGGTATTTTGTACCAAAAATGTGCCCTAATAACACATTGTATAAGGTTACTCAGATTAACCCTAACAACGACTCGTATACTGTGACATAGATTTACCATAACAACGACTTGTCTACTGTGACCTTGAATTACCATAACCCTTAGATTTCTTGTGACTTGTATATTGAGACTTATATGTATCTTGCCAACGACTTGTTTACTGTGACAAAAAAAACATGTCTTTACAAAGAATTCTTTTCTGTGACCCTACCCTGGCAACGGCTTCAGTTCATTGATAGAGATCTGTCCAAACAGATTTGTATATTCCGACTGATATACACCGTTACAAATACATTGATAATAAAGCAGAAACGAATTCTACTTATTGCTTAAATACTGTGATAGGGTTATGATCTAGCAATCATTTGTAAACCGCGAGATATTTGTATCCTATAAGTGGCTTGTACAATTGTATGCTATTTTCATCTTACACAACCGCCTACTTGCATGATTTGAGACCATTCTCCGGTAGAGTGTAACAGATAGCCTTCACGTAACAGAAATTCGCTGATTAGATTATCTTTCCAGGGAAGGTTCATACAGCTTTCATTCGTCGAAAAGGGACAGAGAGAAAGCATGTCGCGCCCTAACAACAAAACGACATACGCATC